TACTTTATTTGTAAATCCAATCACTTCATCATTGTTTAGTGTTAATATTTAAAGGGATGATGGTGGTAGTTAAATAAGTTTAATTTAAAGTGTAATATGATTGTCAATTCCAAAACCTTGTCTTAGTAGATACTATTTGAAAGCTAAAAAAGCTTTATCCATTAAGATGAGCTAAAAAAAACACACTCTTCTGGATTGGGCCTACTAAAATTTATGATCAAACATGGCTTGAAAATAATAGGTTTTATTTTTGTCCTTTGAAAAGTAGTATTGGAAACAAGTTTCTAACTTAAGACAAACATATCTTCTCTTAACGAAACATTTTTCTATTCCCAGGACCATGATACTTCATTTAGTACTACTGCATACTTGATGGCAATCCTAGCCAACATAAAACAGAATGTTCTAAACTACTCAGGTATACCTTCATGTTACATTTTCCTTGTTCATAGTCTCAGATAGTGGCTGTTTCTTTCAACATAAAATGGAAAAGTCAGGCTCCAATGGAAAAGTTGAAAATGTACCTGTTGAAAAGTTGAAAATGTACCTGTTGGTTCAGATTGGCTCCCGTCTGCAGTTGCCAAAGAAGGAAGAAGGCATGGCCTCCACCAGCAGCCAGGTGAGCTGGTGACTGAACAAAGGCAGCAGCAGCTAGATTGACTTCCGTCCCTGCTTCCAACAAAGGACTCGGGCCATGAGGCTATAAAACAGAGGAGCATTTGAAGCATAGTCTTTGTGTAGATTCACCACTCTTTCATTAACAAAGGAATAAGAAATGGTAAGCATTACAAAAAGACATGCAATTTCCAAGAGAGTCACCCTTTCAGAATGTATTCCTTACCTCTGAGTTAGCATCCCATAAAAGCATTTTTGCTCTTTTGGTAGACTTGTCAACAAAACACGGTGGTAGGCTTCTTGAGCACAGCTCCGTGGTACATGCTAGTGCATCTGATTCCAAGACTGGCAGCGTCAGCTCATGAACACTCACTCTGGCTGCAGTCCCGCCCTCTCTGCAGCAAACCAGCTTCTGCACGTACACAAACAAGAGCACATGCAAGCCAGTCTGTTTGGCTGGGAAGATGATTGGCCTTTCTCAACTTGTTATGCTTATGAGATAGGAGGGTGCAGGACAGGCTGAGGACAGGTGGAGCAGCCATGCAGCACAGTGCAACCAGGCACGTATCACACATACACAACAGTCAATCACAGTTGATGGCTCTGCCTTCCAACTCCTCCCTTTACCACAACCACAAGGAAGGTCAACAATTATTCTAAAAGAAGGACTGATGTTTACTTTGAAGTTCTTTGAACGTATTTCTACTTCTACACACCAGTTAATTCCTGAGTGGACTGATGGAGTTCCTTCAGCCTATGGCAAGATGTCAAAAGAAGTCAGCATCCTTAAGAGATTAAAGATGCAACTCATATTAACATTCATACTCTGTCTTATGTCCGCTGACATAAACTTCAGTAGAGCTTACTCCTAAACATCTGCTTTGGCTTGCATAGGCTATATATATATGTATGTATGTATGTATGTATGTATGTATGTATGTGTATATGTATATGTATGTATACACACATGCACACACACATATACATATACATACACATACATATATACATACATACATACATACATACATACATACATACATATTTGTTTTCTGAGGTTTTCACGGGTATTTGTAAGATACTTCCAATTTTACGCGGGAGAAAACCCGAATAACCAAAGATACACACACACACACACACACACACACACACATATATATATATACACACACACACATACATACATATACGTGTACATACACACACACGATTGATTTTTTACTCTCATCTGGTGGTCATTTGAATTTTTACCGGCAAAATCTAATGTCCAATAAGCTTAAATCAATTAGTTGGGAACTTGAGATGAATAAAGTGAAGCCAGTCAACAAAGAATAAATCTATGAGCAATTAAAATTGTAATATTTAATGTGACCAGCCCAAATTTATTTTTTTAAAACTGAAAAGATAAAAGTTGTTACAAACTGACTGTGAGCATTATATACTGAATTTACAAAGCAGCATCTGCAAACAGCAGTTTTAAAGATAAACAGAAACACAACTCTGACTTATTTTTCAGACAGCTCAAGATAAGTACACCTTCCTTAGCAATTTGTTTATCTAGAGAACTACTTTGTTAGGAATTTTTTACAGCAATCTGCCAAAATCTTGTAACATCATTTTGTACCTGGCACTCTGGGATGATGGAGTATAGATGTTAATCTTCTATCTGCTGCCTCTGAAGTAAGTGCTATTCTCTCTTCAATCATCTTTTCTAAAGGCTAAACATATATCTCTCCCTTAGTTTTTTCTGGTAAGACAGCTTCAATTCAACATTGTCCTTCTAAAAGTAGTACTGGTTTCAATTTGTCTTTCACAAAGAACAAAAGTAGCTTGGAAATATATTTGAGTAGTATCTGTAAGTATCTAATTCTTCCACGATTGTTTTCACATATATTATTACCAAGTCAGGTATCCACCATCCCAGGTATATACTTTGCCTGCATTAAATTTCAGTCTGTTACTTCAACCCATTTCTTTATTGTATCAAAATCATGTTGAATTTTTATTGTTTTCTACTCTATTTGCTATCAGTCCCCATTTTGTGTGATCTACAAATTTGATAAAGTATTGCTTGGTCAGGATCTTCCATCCTTTTCCACAACCAATTAATTAAAATGTGTGAAGCCCCAGGACTGAACCCTCTAGCATCTCTCCTCTTTCTAGATGACGTGCCGTCTCCAAACATTCTTTCAAGCCAGCAATGAATCTAATAGACATGTCATCCAGCTGATAGTCATCTAGCTTGCTAATATAGAGTATCTTGTCATCGCTTTGAAGAAATCTCTTATGTATTCCCATACTATATTTAGGAAGTTACCCAAAGTGAAATGTGATTTGTTCCAAATAAATTCAGGCTGATTTTTAATGATCCCTTCAGATTAATTTACAGTACATCTAGCCTGAAGATCCGAACTAATTCGAAGTCAATTATTCTGTTTCCAGCAAGCTTGAAGTGGAAACTTTCAATCAGCTCCTCAGTTGCCCAGCGGAAAGCATATTCTTTTCTCAAAACTGACTTAGTCAAAGAAGTTGAGAAATTTTGTTATTATTCTGTTACCATCTGCATTGAGGAGCTATGCTATAAATTATTTTCTCTCATTTGTAGTTTGAATATATATGGGGGGAAAAGCTTTTGTTGTTCTTAGCATTCTTCATTAAACCTTAGGTCATTTTGATCCTTAGTTTTTCATAAATTCTACAATTTTAGGCTATAAATATGCACTATTTCTTCATGCTGTTCCTCTTTCTTCATACTCTGTTCCTCTTTCTAGTTTCCTATATATGTTTATCATGATTTCCAGACTTTCTCTAAACATATTGAAATATGGTGTAGCCATATTTCTTCTGCTATCTTCCTTTCCCTACACACACACACACACACACACACACACAGTGGAAATGTTTGCTCATTCTCTTCTTAGAAATTTCCATTCTTCTTGTCCATTTGCTTTTTCTAACATGTAATTCTAATAACTTTATTCTAACTTTATCAAAATATGCTTTTTGAACTATGGAAAACTCTCCACCCCACCCCAGAAAAATGAAATATTTTGGGAAATATTAAAAAGGCAGAACATTATATTTCCCTAATAGTATATAATATTATTATATTATATAATAGAATATTATATAACCCTAACCCTAAAGGAGAAATGGAGAAACATGTCTTTAGAGGCAGAAATCAATCCGCAGTCTTTCTTAATATTCACAGCAGATGCCAGCACTTAAGGGCACTTAAATGCCAGCACTAAAAGAGCTTATTGAAAGAGAAACCAACTATCTAGATAGCTCTATTCATAAGCAAAACAAACACAGGCAGTAATCCATTCAAGACAGGATATTTAGAAACTATTGCAGCAAAGTTTGACAGCTAACAAAGGCAGAATGGTAAAATTAGAAAACAGCCCTTCACCCAAGATCCAATACAGGACGAAAGCCATTAGCTATAATAGGAATTGCCTGACACCCTTCATTGCACCACCCCTAGAACAGTTCAAACTTCAAAGTCACAGAAACCTATAAAGATCCACCCACTCATTCAACCATGTGACCCAGAACTGCTGTTAGTTCTGTTCATGATTAAACTTTCTTTCCAATTAGCCTCCATGTTGTTTATAGCGTCTTTCTCCCAACTTCGAACTGAACCAGGCAGATTTTCCTTTCAACAGAAGTCCAAGATGTGTTTGACTATACTGAGTTTAGCGTCTCTTAAAATCAGTAAGACCAGCATTACCATTTTCGCAGCAGATATGTCTCTCTCCTTTATTATATCAATAATATATCCATAAATAACGCTATCCCAAAAAACAAAGTAAACTGCTACCAACAAATTGCAAATTGCTGTAAAATTATTCTGCTGAGCACTGTAATCATATCTCCTAAGTTCTACTTCTCTCTTGGTCTTTAGATTGCTATTAATTCAGACAAGATTTGTCAAGTATAAATGGGGATTCCTACACCTTCCCCTCATTATTGTTTGGCATTTGAGTCCCTCTCCCTTTCTATTTACAAGTTCACCCCTTTGTACGACTCAGTCAGATTGTTTTCAGGACTGTATCAAATGTTGTATGCAGGTTTGGAAAAAAAACATCTACTGTACTCTTTTTTTGAGGTGCTTGCTCTATTCTATTGCTAGGAACCGGCTTGCATCATGGCTGGCTGGGGAATTCTGGGAGTTGAAATCCAAACATCTTAAAAGTTGCCAAGGTTGAAAAATAGGGACCCAGCCCAAGCAACTCCTCCGCTCAAGTGCCCACTTGACGAGACTGAACACCAATTGATCAGCTTCCCGTTCCTTTGGCTGGTCAGCGTGCGCGCATGCTCACGCGGACATGAAAGTGAAGGGCGGGTCGTTGGCAGGGCGTAGGCCTTTGGGGAAACGCTTGGTACTAGCGTTGCTAAGCGACGCGTGGTTGCTGCCGCTGCCTATGTCTCGGTTCTCTGCGACTACACGCGGGAGGGCGCAATTCGCGATGGGCACCGCAGATGAATTCAGTGAGTCACAATTCATGGGCATTGAATCGGGCGGGCTCATTTTGCTCCTTTCTTCTCCCTTTCACGCCGCTTTTGTCAGCAATCCAAGTACTGTAGTAAGTTTCCAGGTAACGATTATCAAGAGGACTTGAAAAGTCCTTAATTCGTGGAACAGCTTTGATGGAGGTGGGAAAGCGCTTTGCGCATTGTCGGTGTGTGTGTGTGAGAGAGCGTGAGCGAGCGAGAGATCATAATTATTTTACTGCCCTTAGGAGAGCTCTGGCGATCTCGGGCATAGCCTGATGCGGTCACTCTGGATAACTTCTTCCCTATTCTTTTGCCCTCCAGCTATGTTGGGCCACTTCTCCATCACTTCCAGCCCATCACCAATGCCACGTTGCCTGGGGATTTTTAAGATTTGATCCAGCACCGTCAAGAGACTCCTTGCTGGAAATCCCAGAAGGACACAAACGGCCACCATCCAAGGGCAGCTGGGAAGCTGGGGGGCTCTGGAGGAGGAACAAGTGTGCATTCACTGGTATTGGTGCATCATAACCAGTTTGGTATACTGGCTCAGGAGCAGGGCTGGAAACCAGATTTGAGCTCTAAGCATGAAAGTCAGTTGGTTGACTTTGAGCTAACTGCTCTTGCTCACTCTCTCTCTCTCTCTGCTTGGCTTATTTTATATAATTGTGGTTGTGGAGAAGAGGCAGGAGGATTAAACATGTTTGTCATGAAAACACTTCTGCCTAAAACCCTTGGTGATTGAAAGTGACCCAGATGAGAAAATTAATTTTATAGAATGAAAGGATCAAACATGCTTAAAACTTTGAACATCCTCTCAGGTGTTTCTGGTTTCCATTTATTAAGGGTTTTTTTCTTCCCACTATTATATGCATATAGTACTTGTGACTTATCCTTGGCATGGTCAGGCAGTGTATAACTGTTTTCCTCTAATAAAGGAAAAAATAAAGGGTTTGTACAGATACCTTTCATTGCAGCCATAGATGTCTAGTCCAATGGAGTACCTCATCAGATCATGTTGAGATTCAGCTTCGCCTTGTAGGTAAAAGGCAATTTATGGTTGTATTCTGCTCCCATAGGGAAATCTATCAGTCAATTTCAGATGAGTGATATAAGATGATTTTGAATGGAAATATAATCAATAGACAGAAGAATATGTGGGTTTTGTGCAAAATAGCTTTTGAAATCACTAGGGAGAAATACCATGGACAGGTAATAAATTTAATGTGAAATTGGCTAAGTTTGCTTTTCCTCCACTGTTGCTCCTTCTTGAAAATCTTGCAATTCTAGAAATTCTCTGTAATAAAAAAGTTAAGGAGTATCCTCCCTTTTGTTCCAGTGGTATACAATTAGAAGTCTCTGAGTATGCTGCGAAGAGCTTTAACTTTAAGCCTCTGGAAGAGAGCTGAGAAGTAATACAATGAATAAAAAGTCGAAGAGTTGTATACTAGAGTTAAAAATAATGCATATTTTGCTACAATCCATTAATCACAATTGGAATATGAGGCAGCAATGTAGTATTGGTGCTAAATTAAAAGTCCAGGCACCCAGGCCCTCTTCTGGCATTCCTCATTTAGTTTATTGACTTTGCTGGCTCTCAGATGTCCCTGGCCTCCCCTCCACCATGGCACTTCCCATCCCCACACAACATGCCCATGCTCCTTACCTAACGTCCTGTCTCATCCTGCATTGCCATCACTAAGCAATTGCATTGCACTTTATGACTGCATCATTTATGCAGGGAATCCTGGTCCCAATTGCCATCATAACCCAGGAATTATCAGTATATGGTCAGTTCTTTTATCATCAGGAGTGTGGCTGAGTGCATCAGTTAGGTTAACTTGTGAATAGTGGGTCTGTTTTTAACTATGGGTGTTGCTTTTCTGTGTTGTTGTTTTTCTGCTTTTTGTGACTTTATATTTTAATACTGATAGCAATCCAGAATCATGAGTTTGATGAATGAATAAATATGTAAGTATGCTTACCCAATGAGGTCAATGGAAATCATTAGAAATCAGTGTAAGAAGCAACTCTGCGGGGGAAAGGCTGGTATCCTAAGGAAAGTAATGGTGAAAGGCGAAGCAAGTAACCATTTCTCAAGGCTTAAGTGTGTTTCTGTTTTTATTACAGGAATAATATAAAAAAGAAAAATGAAGCCAACCAGTGAACCTCTACCTCGTGAACATAGTACTGAGACTGTTCTCCAGTGCATTTTAAAGGCGTCCACTAGTGAATTGGATAGTTTACAGTGGCTATCCGATCAAGGTAACAAAAGAATATACTTTCTAGCTTCCACGGTTCTTTATTTTTTATCATGGGATAAGGTGAAGGGATACTTTCATAATAAGAAGTCATTCTTGTTTCTTGAACAAATGGAAAAACAAGATTACGGGATCTATAATAAACAGCCTGAACTTTTGCCAAGAAAAGAGAACTTTTTGCAAAGCGTTACAGGTTCTCTTCTTTAAAATGGCAGTTCTTTTTGTCAAGAAAGGGCTTATGCTGCTGCCTCTATAAATGAGCTAATCTTCCAGGGAATCATGCTTTTTTCTCTGTCTTCTCTATGACTTGCAGACAGAACAAAAGCACTACTCAGAAAATTCTGGCTAATTATTATATATGGGATAAAATCCTGGTTTAATTAAACAGCTAAACAAGACTAGAAAACCATGGCAGACTTGAGCCTTTTGATTTAGTTCTAAGTGTAAACCACCCTACATCTCATCTCTTCCTCTACTATATGCATAGTTCTGCAAGGTCAGACATATCAATAGCACTGCAGTGCTTCTTAGCAAAGCATTGATCCTTTGTTGAGGAAATATATTTCATTGAATTTGTTTAGAAAATAAGGGAATACAGGTAGTCCTCGACTTACAACAGTTCATTTAGTGACCATTCAAAATTACAACAGCACCAAAAAAGGGGCTTACGATCGTTTTTCAGTGAGCCCTGCAGCATCCCCATGATCAAAATGATTAAAATTCAGATGGTTGGCAACTGGATCATATTTTTGACGGTCAGTGTTCCAAGATCATGTGATCACTTTTTGTCACCTTCTGACAAGCAAAGTCAAGCCAGATTCACTTAACTGGATTACTAACTTATCGATTCACTTAACAAAATTCACTTAACAAATGTCTCACTTAACAACAGAAATTTTGGGCTCAATTGTGGTCGTCAGTCAAGGACTAGCTGTATACATCACTTCCTCCTTATGATATTGCAGTTTATTATGTAACGTTTTCCTTGAACAAATGGAGGGAGAGTTATGTGAGTGAGAACACATTCAATGGAGTCTGTTTGTATTTGACATGCAAGTTAACAACTATTAATATGATCAATGACTCCTGCTTGCATTTCATTTAGTTTTTTTCCTTTTTGAGTGTCAAGTTTACATTCAAATAATGTTAAAAGTGTAGGCACACCAGTTCAGCCAAAAACCCAAGCTTTCTATGTTAGATTCCTCACGAAGTACTCCACCTACAAATATGGTATCCACCTAGCACAATGAATGATGGACTACATTTTCATGCTTATTTTCAGACAGACAGTGCAGTCAGTATTGAGTTGCAGAGTAAGGAGAAGGGAAATGTGCCCCTTTTCTTCCACAGCATGACCAGTATTTTCAAAACTAAGTAACTATCTGCATAGTTACATGTTGTGCTCAGTGATCTTTGGATTGAAGCCATTTTCTTTGCCTACAGGATCATTTTAAAAAAAGCAGAGTTGAAGGAAAAAGTATCAAGAGAACTGAGATAACTGAGTTTTTAACATGGGTTTATATAATACAATCAGGATGGCATCCCTATGATCTACTTCCCAGCTTAATTAAGTCACCAGGCCTCCTTATAGCCTCTTCATATTACTTCTTCTGTTCATTCATTGCTCATCATACATGGGTTTAATTTCCACCCCATCTGTAACTAATATGCAGCTTCAACTAATGCCCATTAAGAAAAAATAAATCTGGTCCAAAAAGCTTTCCCACATGTTTTATATGATGATTACTTCATACACAACCACAGCTGTGTCTCTGTTTTTAAATAGGGGCTTCCAATCATAATTTTCTGTTTGCAAAGGCTGAAGAACTTCTGAAAAAGCGAATCAAAGATGGAGAGCCACTGGCATATTTTCTCAAAGGGCAACTTTATTTTGAAGAGGTAAAATTCTACAACTTCTAAAAGAATGTAAAGAATGCTGGAGGGAGACACTGTCAAAAGCAAGGATTAAGGACAATTTCAGATGCCAATATTTTAGAACTCATTTCCCCAATTCGGTGCTTTCCAGAAACGGTAGCATTTATAATTCCCAACTTCACTGGTCTTATTAGTTGGGCTGGTGAGTTTGAGATTTCCCATATAGTAGAATAGCTTCAAGCGTGAGAAAATAGTTGATTTTAATGTAATTAAGAACATAAAAAGCTACCTACTGGCTTGATTCACACACTTCTGAATTTGATTTAAAATAATAAGTAAATCAGACTTGTATGTCTTGCTCAATAAATATGGATTGCAAATACTGACAGACTGTTATGTGTGGCCTTAGTTTATGCATCCATATTCCAATTCAGGAGTAGACAACCTGTGGCTCTCACTTATATTACTAAAATTTTAGTTCCCAAGCATTCCCCACCATTTGCCATGCTTGCTTGGGTTATTGGGTGCTGCTAGGTTTCCAGTTTGATTGACAATAGGAATCCAGGGACATTAATAAAGAAGGCTTTGCAAATGTCCCCTTTATTAACAAGAAAAGCCAATGATCTATTCAACAAATGTGCCCACAAGGATCCCGTCATTCATTTCATAAGAACCATATAGAATGAAAACAATGGCCTAATTAGTCTGTGCTATTCACATAGTGGCCAAGATGCTTGGATGCTTGGGTGCAATAGCAATCTCCTACTAATGTTCCCTAACATTCAGTACAAAGAAGCATACTTTCTACAACATAGCTTCCAGAATGTCTTCATCAGTGGAGAAATATGCACTTATTTATTGCAAATGCAGATCCAAGAATTTGGATCCAAGCAATTTACTCTTTTGCAAGGTTTGCATCCAGGAACCTATTTGCTGTTAGGCTTTTGTTTAATGTTCTGAGGATCTAAGAAATTAGGTATAAATATCTCTTATAAGCATTTCCTTCTGCACATACCTATGATTTCAGGTCCTACCGTTGTTTGAATTTGATGAAGTACTGCTGTCCTGGATGCACAATTTCAAATTTTAGGATGCTTAGTCACCCTTTTAATTATTTTAAATTAAGAATTTAGAATCTAGATAGGAATGTTCTGAAAGATTCAGCAGTCTGTAAGATTTACTAGCTGATTTAATCCTAAATATTTGATTTTCTTTGTGCCTGATACAGAAACGGTATGAAGATGCATTATTGCAATTTGAACAAAACACGGATTTTCAGTCCATGTATCAGCTGGGTGTAATGTACTACGATGGATTGGGAACTCCTCCAAATTCTGTAAGTTGCAACTAGAAAGTAGATATTCATTAATTTTAATAAATAAATAATAACTATAAGTTTATTATTCAACAGTAGCATATATTCTGAACAAGAAAAATGCAAAGGGAATGAAACTGCACATCTTCTAATTCTATGATTCAATGTATATTATGTTCTGTATTGAGATTCAGCATTTGTTTGCATGTATGTTTCTCAGGGTCCTTAGGAACACAGACATTTCTTAATTACACAAGCACAGGAAACAAAAACGCAGTGGTGGAAACTTTACAAATAGTTTTGTACAGAACATGGGAGGTGGCTACAAGTCTACAAGATATTGAATTGCTTATATGGCATATGCAAAATACAGAACTACAATGACTCCATGAGAATCTTCTGCATGAATAATCCATTTTGACAACATGGGTTTGTCAAAAACAGATCATGCCAAACAAATCTTATTTCTTCTTCTTATTTCTTAGTCACTTTGACTAAATTAGTGGCAAGAGAAATGCAATTGACATAGTATGCTTGGATTTTCAGTAAGGCATCTGACAAAGTAGGCTACAACCTTCTTTTTGGTAAGCTAGAAAAATGTGGGACAGACGGTATCAGCACAAGAAGGATTTATAATCCGCTGACAAATCACACTCAACGTGTAGTCCTTAATGGAACTACATCTACATGAAGGAAAGTAAGCCGTGGGTACTTCAAGGTTCCATTTTAGGCTCAGTAGTCTTTCATATCTTCATAAACTAGAAGAAGGAATAGAAGGGGAACTCATCAAATTTGCAGATGGCACTAAGCTGGCAGATGGATCACGACAGATTTGAATATTAGACCCTATCCAACAAAATAAAATTCAATGCAGAAAAAAGTGAAGTCTTACACTTAGGCAAGAAAAATGAAAAGTACAGGTACAGATTTGGTGAAACCTGGCTCAAGAGCAGTGAGAGGGATCTTGGAGTCCTGGTAGACAATCATTTAAATATGAGTCAGTAGTGTGTGGTAGCAACCAAAAAAGCCAGTGCAATCCTAGGATGAATTAATAGAGAGATAGAATCAAAATCATGTTAAGTACTAGTGTCACTTTATAAAGCTTTTAGTAAGATCTCACCTGCAATACTGAATCCAGTTTTGGTCATCACATTATAAAAAAGTTGTTGAGACTTTGGATAAAATGCAGAGAAGAGCAACAAAAACAGTAAGAGGCCTGGAGACTAAAACATATGATGAACGGTTGCAGGAATTGGGTATGGCTAGTGACTAGTCTAATGAAAAGAAGAACCAGGGGTGACACAATAGCAGTGTTCCAATATTTGAAGGGCAGCCACAAAGAAGGATGGTCAACCTATTTTCCAAAGCACCTACAGGCAAGATAAGAAACAGATGGAAACTGATCAAAAAGAGATCCAAGCTAGAACTAAGGAGAAATTCCCTGAGAACAATCAACCAGAAGTTGTGGGTGCTCCATCACTGGAGGCTTTTAAGAAGAGACTGGACAGCCATCTAACTGAAAGGGTAAAGGCTCTCCTGCTTGAGGTGGTTGGACTTTTAAGACTTCCAAGGTCCCTTCCAACTCTGTGATATTCTATTCTCTTCAGGAATTATACTGTGTTCATCTATGGTTCCTCGAATCACCTATTTTTCAAATGTATTTTTGTTTAATAAATGTATGCCTTAAGATTATACCGTTGTCAATTAACTCCACTAAGCAGGCAATTGTTTTTAATAATGTAAACTCAAGGGACATGTTTTTCTTTCCCAAGAAACATATGATTTCAGCTGAACTATGTCTTCCTTGTCATTTGTATTATTGAATAGACTTCTCTTAAACTGTCGTGAATGTTAGGTTAAAAATGTATATGCAACCACCTGCCATAACGCTGAAAGTTAAGTTCATGATACGGAATTCAAAACATCATACTTTGTTAGTTGGAAAAACTGTCTATTCAAATAATTATTTTAGAATGTACACTAGAATGTAGAGTTATGGTTACTGTCAGTGTAGAGCTGTGGCATTTGTAGCATGTGTTGTTTGTACAAGTACAGTATATGGTTTGGGTTCGAGAGAGAACATGACTTGAATCACAGCTGTCTGCAGGAGCTAGCTGCTTTTGTCAGTGATGAAAGCAGCATTACAGCATAACATACTCAGCCCTTTTTGTAGTCTCACGATAGATGTAAAAAGGGGGCTAGATTGTGTTCTGACCCTATGATCTCACTTTCATCACTATCCTCTGGAAATTTGGTTTTCAAAAGCACTGAGGCCAAAAAGGGATTTCCACACCATTTTTCGTGCAGCAAAGCAAAGATTCTGGGTAACAGAGGTCTTTTTTCTCTGACTTCATGCTAGAGATGAAGACTCCTTGAATATATTTGGATCCCTATATGCACCTATCAGTTTAAATGAATGTCCAAACAAGTGGTTATGAAAACCTATCAGAGGCAACCATCTCCAAACTTATACGCCACAAGGCTTAGGGTGGCTCTGTCAAGGTTTCTGTAAATTCAAAGTCAGGAATGGCAGAAGGCAGACTTGTGATTGCTATTAAAATGAAAAGCTGGCTTAAGATGTTTTTCGCTAGAGTAGCAGTAGCTTAATTTTCAGAGCCAAACCTTCATTATGATTTTCTGAACTGAAAAGTCCTTTTTATAAAAGAGTTCATTTGTACATGATTTCTTGTTTTGAATTTTGATAATTTTTCCTGAAAATTCCATTGCTTTCTAACTGAAACAGCAATATCACTTACTTTTATACCTCTTCATAGGGCACTGCAACCCTCTCTAAGCAACTTACAGAGTCAACATATTGCCCCCAACAATCTGGGTCCTCATTTTACCAATCTGAGAAAGATGGAAGGCTGAGTCAACCTTGAGCTAGTCAGAATCAAACTCTGACATATGTTCTACTTTAATGTTATGTGGCAAAGCACCACATCTCAGCTAGGCACACCTCTGGGTTTCAGCTCAATAGAAATTGCTGTTGGCATTGTATCTCCATCAATTAAATGTTGTAACATTTCATTTCAAACAACAGATCCTTTTATGTCTTGGTCTGACATGCAAGTGGGCTGCTTGTTCACAAGTGATTCATGTCTTGACAGGATCACTTATTCTTTGCTTTGGTTCACCTGTAGAAGAAAGGAGTTGAATATATGAAGAAGATTCTCAACTCTGACTCCCCTAAAGCAAGACATTTAAAATTTGCTGCTGCTTACAACCTTGGCCGAGCTTACTATGAAGGACATGGGACTCAATTTTCTGAAGAAGAAGCTGAAAGGTAACTTTTCTTTATAATGCATCCATGCATGGGCATATCAGCCTGACAATTTTGGAGCCAACTATAATAATATAGTCTGAGCCATGATTTCAACATAAAGGCCCCCATTTTGAGACAAATTCTTTGGGTGCTTCTAAATGGAGAGCTCTTTGTGTTAACAATTAAAATCATGGGTTTTATTTATTTCCCTCGTGAATAGATTTTCAGTTGAAAAGAAAAAGAACAGAAATTGCAGGAAAATATTAGAAGTTTAGACATGGAAGTTGCCTAGAGCTCCCTCTAAATTTATGGTTGACACTGAATAATTTCACAATAAAAATTCCTGTTCTGAAATACCATTTTTTGTAAAGGCCAAGCTTCCAATTTGATGCCAATGCATGGATAAGAGATTGTGGTCTTCCCAGTGATGTTGAACTACAATACCCAATATGCTTTAGCATTGGTTATGCTGGGTGGGGTTGCTTAGTTACAGTTTGATGGTTTTTGAAGAACTGTGTAAGTTTCACGACATCTGAGAAACTTCCACATGGCTATGAATGAAAAGGGGAATAATCTAATCATATCACTGTTACTATTGTTTTCTAGATTATGGCTTATTGCTGCAGATCATGGGAATCCAAAAGCAAGTGTAAAGGCTCAGAGTACCCTTGGAATGTTGTATTCAGCCCATGCTAAGGATTTTAAAAAGGTACCTTCTTCTTTGGGATAGTTTTATTCCAAGGCCTACATTCAACAGGCCAAATGGAGTCTCTTTCCATTTGGAAATGGTAAAAAAGAGGCAGCAAGTTGAAGAGAATCACAGAGACCCAATGTGGTATCATGATTAAGATGCTGGACCAGAACTGGGGAAACCTAGGGTTTAGTCTACCATCAGCCACAAAATCTCACTGGTTGATTTTGGGCCAAAGGCTCAAACAACATTCTTAAGTGATTTATCTTCTTATCTATTGGGTAAAAAAAAAATAGTTACTATGTTTCACTGATGTTTTAAAACCTAAGCGAAATATTTGGCAGCCTGAAAATAGAATTATGCATATAAAGAACATTACCTTTATTTTAAAATGCAAATTATGGAGTCTCATTTTTCAGAATAATGAAGAATAGGATTATGTCCTATCTAAACAGCACAGGCAACTTCTGAAGAATGTCAGCTACATATACAGTATCACTGCCATTTTGAAGATTGACAGTCTTCATGTTTCTGCATAGCTACAGAGGCAGATACTAAACCTGAAGCATAATTCTTGACGCTATATCTATCAGTCCACATAGCTTGAACATAGCAAAAATCTTTTTCTTCTTCCCGCCCAAATGACTTTTGGAAAGTTGTTTTTCTGCAGGCGTTCTTTTGGCACTCAGAAGCTTGTGGGAATGGAAGCTTGGAATCTCAAGGCATCCTTGGGATTATGTATCTTCACGGACATGGTGTACGTCACAACTTGAAGGCTGCTTTGGAGTGCCTCAATCAGGCATCAGATCGAGGAAATGTCTATGCTAAAGGCCATTTAGTGGAGTATTATTACAAAAGAAAATGTTTTATAAAAACGGCCGAGTTTGCCAAAAGGTGAATTCATTTTAGTTTGTTCTTCAAGGGGAAGCTAATTGGGAAAAAGGAAGCATAAATCAAATTCACCCATACTTATGTGGGTAGACAACTGAATATTTGCACCTAACTAGCAAGAAGTCAGCATATGTATTTCAGATGCTATGTAATGTATATATTATTTAAAAATAATAAATTATTAAAAATAATTAACATTTTAAAATCTTTCCTGTTGTGGCTTTTAAAGTCCTCAGGCACAAAGATTTTTTTACATAAGAGCTTTTCATATCTATGAGCAATTAGTAATTGCTATGCTTGTACACTATATTGATTCTGAATATAGTTTATAACTGTATAACAACTCTTTAAGTACAGGTAAGTCTTCAACCTTATAGCTATTTGTTCAGTGACCATTTGAAGTTATGATGGTGCTGAATGAATGGTGGTTATGACCAGTTCTTGAAGATCCTGCCATCTGAACACCTCCATAGTCACATGATCAGTCTGGGCACTTTCACAACTTACTACTGGTGGCAGCACCTGTGATCATGTGACCATCATTTGCAACTTCTCTGCTTTCTTTTAATGTTAATCATTGAAAATTTCAGAAATAAAAATAAAAATTAATATAATCTAAAATAAAGAAGGTAAAATAACAAATGAATAAAAATCTAAAGTGTGAAAAGGGAAAAAATAAAGATAAAAGTTACATATGATCTTATTTCAGTAGTTATAAGTACAGTACAATTGTGTATTTACCTCTTTCTCAAAGTTTCCTTGTGACTCTTTCTACAATGTATTCTATCTAATTGTCAAAATTGTAAATCACACATCATTCTACAAGGGGCCCACCCTTTAACAATATCCAGAAGCTTCAGATGTTACTGAATGCAGTGGTACAGGCAGTTTTGTGTGCTCCTAGAACATGTTACAAATCTGCTCCACAAGCAGCATTGGCTGCCATTATGCTTCCAGGTCCAATTCAAGGTTCTGGTTGGCTGGCTGGCTCCGTCCATCCATCCAATTTATTTGCCTATCTCACAATGGGGCTACTCTAGGCAGCTTACAATAATAAAAAGAAAATGAAAAGAATGTAAATAGAACTATAGTTATTTTCTTTTCTCTAATAAAACATGTTAATTTGGCCACCTCGGCAAGTTCTGTTGTGTTCACCAACTATGCATTATAGATGCTGCCAATAATGCAACTGGGAGTATCATTTATAAAACAAAGTTATGTCTCTTTCCCAACCTTTTTATCCTCCAATCCCAAGTCAATGGGGAATCCTACTACACTTCCCCAGCAGAGAAGATTGCAAGTGGCTGGGTAAGTATCTCCCACCTGCACACTCTCCCCAGGCCCCCTGCACTTGCACCGTATGGGCTATTTGCACTCCCCCCACAACCTTCATTGTGCTTCCCTCTCACCCTTGTACACCCTCCTTGACCTGTGCTGCCTCTTGTGCATTCCCCCGTATCCTCCCCAACCTATGCAATACCTCTCTTGCACCCTCAAGCTGTCACTAGCCCATGCAGTGTCCTTTGCTCACCCTCTCTCTGACCTTGCTCTGCTTCCCTTGTACCTGCACACACCCTCCCCAACCTGTGCTTCTCACAAACCCTCTACCCATTCCCTATATCCCCACAAATCCCTCACTTTATTCCCACCTGGAAGCAGCCATTTACCTTCCTGCCTGGAGCTTGCAACTTCCTGCCGAGTTCCCCATTGAGCTTGGGTGTGAAAAGCAGGAAGTTGCTTCACCTAACAACTGTGAAATTCAATTAATGACTGCAACTGGGACTATACGGATTGCCATCACTAGGCAACATGGTTGTGCTTTACAGATGCATCACTTAATGACAGCAATTCAATTCCAATTGCCATTCTACCTGTACATGAACTTAGGGCTTATAAAATATGGCATACATAAGCGTACAAAAACTCTACACTTTGGCAAAAACGTTCTTAGTAATTATTTGAATTATTCTTTTGTCTTCTGAAATTACTAATTTTTTCCTTATGGTGCATGTCCAAATAGAGTAACAGAAAATGACAATGTTGAAAAGATAGCAGAAGAAACAGATTGTCTTCCTTTTTACATAAGCAGAGGACTTGCAATGGCTTCTTTCTACTTGGCCAGATGCCTCCAGCTTGGCCGAGGAACCCAACAAGATTTAGCAGCAGCTAAAAAGTATTACTCTAAGGTAAGAGGGGAACGGGGTTTTAAATTTTAATTTAATCTTTTTAATTGGATAAGCGTTTACTTCCTTAAGTTTACTGTTAGGCTTATCTGTGATATATGAAACAGAATTATATATGAAAATTAAACTAAAACATATCTGAAAAGAATAAAAATGTTATTCAATTATCAAATTGACTTACTTGAGGCAAGTTATGTTTATACCCCATTTGTTGTTTGCTGCCACTTGATGTGGAAGATTTCAAAACCTACTTTAGGATAGATGGTTCAGACACAATCATACAAATTCTAAATAAATACTCTATTTATATGGTTATCAAATGCATGTATATTCTACAGCCAGAACTATTGCTGCTTTGAAAGAGCACTGTAATCTTAAGTGTGGAAAATACCAATTTCTGAGTAAGTCTACCATATTCGCAGATTCATATAGTCCCTGTCTTCTCCACTTCCATTTTTAGATTAATTGAAGTTTATAGAGGCTTCACTTGTTAATCTTAAAATTGGAACAAAATAGTTTTATGAGCTGTGGCTTGAAGCTAGTTTGTTTCTACTAACTATAGTTAACATCACTCATTTTTTCTCCAAATTCAGACCACATGGCAAGTTGCAAATACTCCAAAAATGAAGCGAAAACATTTGAATTTCTTGAAAGACTATTGGGGGAGGGGGATGTGCCAACCTAGATCAAGCTATGATTTAGTAATATTCTTGACTCAGCTTTTTGTTTGTGTTTCTTTTTTAAAAAAAATTAAGTACCTTCTGACTGAAATTGGACATTTTCTGTGGAATAAATGTGAACCTCCTCAATAAATAATCATTTATTTTTCTTTTACAAATATCAAATAAAATAACCAATTGCCAGTCTTCATTTTAACTACAGCAATAATGCAGTAAATTTATAATCCAAGAATAGTAATAATGATGTTTTTAACATTATTAAATAACATGTGCCTATCCTAGGTTTTGGGAAGGAGTTGATAAATGGACAAAAATGCCAAATCCAGTCTAAACATCTGACAATTAGAGTTGTTCAGTTTACCTTTTTCCATGGTAGATATTCCATATGGAAAAGCTACCATATAAGTTTATCTTGAGAGATTTTTTTTTTAAAAAGGAAACAGGAGATTAAGGAGATCAAAAGTATATTTTTAATTTAACGATTTAATCCAAGGAAGCTTAGGAAACAATATCTACTAGCACAGTGAGCTTGTACAAGACACACAATATCATTTTTATTTTATTTTATTTAATTTATTTTGTCTGTTTTTAAAGGCATGTCAATTGGATCCTGCTTTAGCTGCTGATCTTGAGCTGACTGCTAATCATGGGAGAATTTAGAATATTATTTCGCTGAATCTAAGCAACACATTTCTTTCAATCAAACTTTCACGTTTGATTAAAGTGAAAAACGTTTGTCTCCCTTATTCTTCATTCAGACTAATGCATATAAATTTCCTTTAGTAAAGTTATAACCATTACTTTGTAAAGTTATTCTATAACCCTGTTAATATAATAAAAGTTGACTGAAGATCACCGAGTACATTTTTGAAGGCGTTTGCAATCATCTATTCTTGGTTAAAACTGTGTGCTGTGTCAATACTCTGTCTTCCATAACATTTCTTTTGATCCTTTGTAGTTATAGTGAAGAAAGTTTGGCTAGCCTCTCAGAAGAAAAAGAAAGCCTCTACTCCTTGCCTTAAGTATAAATTCTGTCATAATCATGAAGTTTAGAGAATGCAATCATGAGGTTTAGAAAATGCAATTCTCTTGGGTTTCTCAAAACTGATTTCAAACAAGATCATTTCTATACAGAATGAGATAAGGGATAAAGAGAAAGCATAAACACTTCAAAGAAAACAAAGTATTCATTAACTTAAACCAGCTTCTTTCATATACTGGCAAATAGAAATCACTAATCCTGCACACGGCATCTTCAGATGCTGAAGAAAATGACAACAGAAATACAGAAAACCTATTATTTATTCATGATGCACTGTCAGGTTGGATGCAAACAAAAGGAAAATGTGGCCAGTCTATTACATAGCTTCACACAGCTTATATGGATTATGTCTTTTGGGTTAAAAAAAAATGGTTCCCCAAAACCCCAGGAAAACCTTGATTAATTGTCACATCAGAGTGCTTTCAGTTTGTGATGATCAAAGTCCCAGGAATTCTTCAGTTATCTTGAAAAAATATAGACTACTTAGTTAAAGTGCTTAAGATGATATAGTTTTAAAAAGTTGTATACGGATTTAGTAAGTTTATGTCACAGTAATTATTTTTGTTTACTATAAAATGCATGAAAAAAGTTTATATACAGTATGTATATTATATATATATAATATTTGTTTTCTTAAGTTTTCACGGGTACTTACATGTATGGTATTCAGCTTTGTCGGGTATTTTCCCATGTCATTATCATTATAGTTATGCTTTTAAAGTCGAACAGACAAACACAATACAGAAGCCTGATGATGGCAGATGAGATTCTGCCGAACCGTTGCTACAACTTTAAAAGCACAACTATAA